GGAAGTGAAAAGAGGGAAAGAAAAGGGAAAAAAAAAAAAAAGACATCACATTGAGAATGGCTGGTTGGAAGGGGGGGGTCACATCCCGCCGAGGCGTGTGACAGCGGTGGGAAGGGAACCCAGAGCCATCCATGGGGACAACCAGAGGCAGGATGCTCCCAGTGGCTCCCACTCCAAGGATCTGCCCCCGCCAGTCGCCAGCTCAACTGCTGACCACTAATTGCTGGCTGCTTGTCTTTTTTTGGGGGAGTTTTATGGTTCCTCATCAGGAAACACGAAGCTGGGAGACAACCTCGCAGCACCCGTCCCGCTGGGAGCTGCTCTGCACGGGGTGTCACTGTCACTCTCCTGCAAGCTGCCCCCAGGAAGGGACAGCAATCCTGACAATTGGGCTCAGCAACATGATCTGGCTGAAATTTAATTTAATTCCAACTCCTCCTGCTTTCAGAGGAGGAAAGGGCCTTAATTAGAGTTCTGTGAGGACGAGGAGGGCCATGAATCTCCCTGCATCCTGAGCTTGGAGCCTGCACAAATCACTGCTTTTATGAGCATCACGCAGGAGATTACAGGAGCATCATTACAGGAGCCAAATTAATTTGACTTAATCTTCAGCTCAAACGATGTCTGCTCAGCTCAGATGCAAGATGCCAAAGTGTCATTTCGTTGTCTGGGCAGGCCCTTAAAGACTTTTTCTTTCCCAACCAGAAACTCGCCCGAGCGAGAAAGCGCCAGGCAGGTCTGCACATCTGCTTTTCCATCAGGAAAACAAGAGGAGAGAGGGAGAAGCCACCCCTTTGGGGACAAGGGACAGCAGCAGGCCTCTTAAAAATGAAGGACTTTCAACAGCTGCCAGGAGAGCTGCGGGTTGTGGGGGATCAGGGCCATTCCCAACCAGTCCCATGCAGCCCAGGGGTGGCTCCAAGTTGGAAAACATGGAAGGTTCAGGCAGTGGGACGTGGTTTGGGTGGGAAATGGTGGTGATGTAGTGGGGAAATGGGATTTTTTTTGTGAGTGGAGAGGAGAGGAGGGAAACTTCCCTCTTGTTTGTTCCTCTTCTGGCTTGTTTGGAACATCTCTGGATCTGTGTGCTGTCAGCAAGGAGTGAGGGCTCATTTTTGGCTGTTTTGGCCTCCTGGCTGAGCCTGAGTGATTTGGCTGTGGGCTCTGCTGGGGGCTGTGACAGCAACACAATCTGATTCATAGAATCCCAGATTGGGTTGGGTTGGAAAGGACTGTGAAGATCACTTAGTCCCCCCAGGGACACCTCCCACCAGCCCAGGTTGCTCCAAGGCCCATCCAACCTGCCCTTCAACACTGCCAGGGATGGGGCAGCCACAGCTTCTCTGGGCAACCTGGGCCAGGGTCTCACCACCCTCACAGCAAAGAATTTCTTCCTTATATGCAATCTAAGTCTCCCCTCTTTCAGCTTAAAGCTATTCTCCCTTGTCCCATCCCTCCCTGCCCTTGTCCCAAGCCCCTCCCCAGCTTTCCTGGAGCCCCTTCAGGCACTGGAAGCTGCTCTAAGGTCTCCCTGGAGCCTTCTCTTCTCCAGGCTGGACACCCCAACTCTCCCAGCCTGGCTCCAGAGCAGAGCTGCTCCAGCCCTGGGATCATCTCTGTGGCCTCCTCTGGACTCACTCCAAGAGCTCTATGTCCTTCTTGTGTTGGGGTCCTTCCCCTCAATTCGCAGGACGTGCTGCTGCAGGAAAACCAACCAGAGGGACAACAGATGTGGCTGGGAAAAACCCAGCCAGAGCTCAGAGATAGAATCTAAGAATGATTGAACCCACAAGGAGAGAAAGTTTTATAAACCCAACTGGGATGTGGAGCTAAAAATACAGCTGCTGGGGCTCGGCGAGGGAGCAAGTGATCCCAGGCCACTGCTTGTGGCCTGGCTGTGGCCATGTGGGCCT